CTGACATCGTCATGAAAATGGCACAAAACGGTGGGTGGGGGGGAGTGCTCTCGGGGGGCGGGGGGGCTTGTGGGACTGAGGCCCGGGGTGCCTATCTGCGTCCCTTTGCTGCAAACCCAAAGAAAAGACACGTCCCGCCAGTCGAGTTTTGGCAGCCGGCCTGTTCCTATCAAGTTTCACCTCGGCCCAGTCCCTCTAGCAAGGGATCAAAAATGGCAAGGGCCGAACAAAACAGTGGAATCTCCTTAGTGTCAGGAAGTTCCATGAAGTCCTTCGCTCGAGTCCTAGTCACTTGGTGAGGTCAAGCATCCTTGACAAGTCCCGTGACAGCCGAGCGGTTTTCTTTCTCCGCCTTCGCGTAACGAGCGCATCTGTTTGCGAGACTTGACGCTGCAGATGGAAGCACGACCCCCAGCCTGCTCGCACATGCCTGGTGTGGCACCCTGAACCCCACTCACAGGCGTTAACCCAACTGAACGCTGAAGTCTCCCTCTCCGGGCCTTTGGGCAAAGGTTCAAGCAGAATGAGGCTTCACTAGTTTTCAGACACCCCAAGTCAATACGACCACATTCCTTACCTCTCACCTGAACCGCAACAGCCCTGCTTCCAACCGTCTTTGGCGTCACTCGGCTCAAGGCACCTTGGCCCAATCTCTGTCCGAACGCGCGGCCTTCAGGACCGACCCGAAACCAGCGGATTGACACGAGCGGATTGCAGCCCTTTGCGAATACGAAGGCCATGCACGACCTCGCTCAGCTTCATTCCAACTTCGCACCAGATACGAAGCGCTTCAGCAGCTTCCGCCAGTGAGTGATCACAAAGGAGGCGTTGACCAAAAACCTGGCCGCAACTCTGAATGCACGTCAAGGAATTGTGTCCCTCCTGACACCGCTCTACTCTCCCGAGAACTGACATCTTGAGTGTGGGGCATGCCCAAAGCACCTCTTCATCTAGCATCCCCGAACTTCCTAAGAAACCCGCCCCTCGAAGCTGCTCCATTCCGCTACAAACTCGGTGGTCTGTGCCCCACAGAACCGCGGACCTTGTCTCCTCGTTCCTTGTCCAAGAGCCACGGTCACAATGACTTGTTTCCCGTGGAAGTAGGAAACTGAGTGAGCCCCCTTGGGTGTGCGGGGAATTTCGTGTGAGTCCCCCTGTCCACTGCCACACCCCCAGCCCCCCACCACCCCTCACCGCCCCCCCACCCCCTACCAGACTACTCATCTTGACCGAACCTCACAGCGTGACAAGGCGCAGCAGGATCTGAAGGCTCACGGCGCAGTAGGGCGCCCAGCGAGGCATCACGAAACTGCCGGGGCCCTGCGTAAAGACCTGCCAGACCTGCGCTCGGAGTTCGGACTGGCTGCTCAGCCCTGGATTTAACAGATTTGTTGACCCCATGTTAGTCAATCAACCAGTTTATTCATAGGGGGTGGTCCGATCCACAAGTGATGAGTCCCAACTAAATCCAGGGACACCCCCTGCTAATAAACTGGTTGGTTGATTGATATGGGGTCAACATTAGATGTTCAGGAAGAGGTGATCATTCCCACCACAACATAAACCCATAAACCAATCTGGTCGACAAGCTCTGGCGTCAATCGCGGGTTGAAGCGTCGCAAGTTCATGAACGCTGATGCACGCTGGAAAGAGAGTCGGTATGCCTCTACGCCGATGCAAAACCCAGCAGCTTTTGCAAGGTTCCGCGACTTGAATCGGGCCCGTCTGTACAAATGGACCGTCGGCAGAGGTGTCGAACTGGGTCTCTTTGAAAGGAAACCAGCATAGAGGGCTGTAAACAACAGGGGTCATTCCCTCATTCCCTAAGAACCAGCAAGTTGAGTAGGGCAATGAGCAAGTTGTTTTCCCAGAGCCGCGAAGTCTTGCTCGGACCGACATCCTGCTTTTGCTAGGAGTGTGGGACGCGACCAGTGAGAAACTCAATCAACGGTTGTGAACTTTTTCGCAAGGGGACTTGATATATGCCAAATCACAGCCAGTCATACTCATGTTGCTACACGTGCACCGGCAGCATCTCACAGAAGTCGCATGCCTGCTGCAAAACGATGATGCTCCAGTAAGCAAAGTAGAGGCGGCTGATTGTGTAGCAGATCACCTAGCAGGGCGGAATGAGTCAACCACCTCCATTGAGGTCTAAGTGGGTGTGGCTCAAAATTAAAGAGCGAGGGTTACGCATGTTTTAGTCTTTTGTTCCATCTACCAAGATGCCATGTTTGGCACATTTTTTGAGCCACAGCCAAGTGACAATGCATTCACGCACAACTGGCAATGCTGGGGTCCTCGGTCCTTCTCGCAAGCTCCCGGATTAGCTTCCCGCCCGCTTTTCAGCTGCAAAACCGCCAATGCAACCCAAGCACAAAGGCCGCGTATGAGCTGTCACTCCTTTTGATCAGGTAGGCTGAGTACATCAAGGAGCCCACCTAGCACACACACACCCGCCGAGCACTTTTTGGGACAGGAGATCCAACGACAGCCCCAAAACCGAAGGCGAAGCATCCGGCCAGTGGAACTCCCAGGCGCCTAAGGAGTGGAAAACATGGTGAGCCTCGGGTGAGCGTTTCCTGGCACCCGTCATGATTTAACGCGTGCCTGTGTGTAGGAAGGTCGGCTCAGGCTTGCACGCTCTTCAAACATGAAGACTCATGCCGAAAGCGCGAAGCCCACAAGAGACAGAGTCCTTTGCTCAGGGGCTGTCTCTCCGAGCCAAACTTGTGCGGAAAAGTTGAAGCAAGGTTCTGAAAGCTTGTGATTTTGGACAGTGTAGACTTCCCTAAGTGGACTTCAGGTGCTACACACGTTTGAAGCTTAAGCTGCTCAGCTGCCAAAAGTTGACGCATGCCACGCAGACTCACAAGTTCCAACTTGTTGAACCTGAATCAGAAGTGCAAAACATATTGCACAAGCAGCTGCAACAACACAATACCCACCATCACAAAAGGTTTCTACGCCGTCTGTTGTCGCTGTGTGCTAGCAAAGTGGACAAAACGAGCTCACATTCTCTTGCTCAATAGGCTATGACTCTTAATTGGGTCGGTGAGTCTAAATCCCGGTGAAGATGATGTTCACCAAAGGGTCCAGGTCCAAGATGATGTACACCAAAGCGTCTGCATGCATAAATATCTTTAGAGGTGTGCACCGACACGTTTTCTTCAGCTGGATGTTGCCGCTACGTGTGGTTCCTTATGTTTTGGAGGTTTTCTTTGCCCTTATGTTTGCCAAATACTTAGCCCTTGCGAATACTTAGCTCTTATGTTCTGGATACTTAGCTCTTATTCTCGAGCTTCGTATCCCTTGGCTTGCCCCAGATAATGGATGTGTTGGCCTCAAAACAAGGAATAAGCCATTTCTGGTGCGGAAATCCATCCCTGATTCTTAAGGGAAAACTAATCAGGGAAATACGCAATACGTATCCAGAAAATCATAGCCAAGTATCCCCCATATAAGAGCTAAATAAACCGGCTAAGGTCCAAAACGTGCTAGAGCACCTGCATAAGAAATATCTGGCTGCTCGCTGAGCAAGCCGATCTGAAGAATTGACCCAATAACTGACGGCTTGTCTAACAAGAAAGGAATCCCTCAAGAAGCATGGTGAACATCACGTTTGTGTTCATCCATCTTTTGTAAGGACCAAGCCTCGCTTAATGCTGGGCAGGCTCGCTCGAACTTGTGGCCCGCCCTGCCCGCCTCTGTAATCCAGGTGTTCACCGCATTGGCGAGGCCAAAGACATGGGCGATCTCGCTGGTGGCGTAGCCAGAGATGGCAACGATGTGGTGCTCCACAAATTTTTGGTCCCACACCGAGACGTGCACTATGTCATACAGGAAGTAGCCTTAACCGGACTCGCGCAAAAACGACTTCCACTGGAAAGGCGGTTAGCCCCCCAAATGCCCCGTGGTCGATATCCTTTAAATGGGGGTTGATGTTCGCCAACAACTTTGAGCGTGTGCTACCATGTCTGAGACACTAACTGAGGATCCAGCCTAAATTGAAGTGCTGCAAGAGCACGGCGACCGGAAACCTTGAGCACCGGTGCAGAAACAGCTCAAAAAGTTTGGGTTTGTCTCAAAATAGGGGAACCCAACAAACATGTTGGATTTTCCTCCCGGCTCCCATGCAAGGTCAACTACCCTCTATTTGCCTTCACACATTGTGGAATTCGAGCTGCTAGCACGTTGGCCCAATGCCAAACTCGGCAAAGCCAGGCATCTGACGTTTTTCGAGGTACATCACAAGCCATCCGAGGCGCAGCGTAAAAAGCGAAACCAATGTACTTTGAACCAGTTCATTTTTCACCCTTTGCCACACTACCCCGCAAATGGGCCGGCTTACAAGGCTCGAGTTGACCAAATCCAGGCGTGCGTGGGTTTGCAGGAGAAAAACACACGAGACCCAGGCTACCGATGCGGAGTTAAACCCCTTTCAAGGCCAAACAAACTGAGCGATTCACTGCAAAAGCTCGGCCTCATGACTGAAACACACATCCAGAAACTCGCCAAACTTGGAATGAGTCACCACCCTTTGCCCCCCCCCTTGCCAGCTTCAGGCCGAACTCGTGCGTTCGTTTCCAGGCCAACCAACTCCCCTCTCGCGCCGCCTGTCGTTGGCTCCGAAGGCTGCCTCGTGCAAATGATCCTGGTACGCCCAGTGGGCCCAGAGCCCCAGCACCGCCGCGACCTGAGCGAGGTCCGTTCGCTACGCGCTCGGCAAACCGAGGAAAACCGGGTTTGTTTGTTTTTTTTTTTTGGGGGGGGGTTGTTTGTGTTTTCTTATTTTTCGCGGGGGGCCACCAAAAGTGCGGGGGGGGGGGGGGGGGATCAATGTTTTGGTTTCCCTAGGCCCCCAGTGTTGACCATGGGCAACTTGTCCCGGGTTGCAGGAATGGTCATCCCATGCTTACCGGACCTTTTGAACAATGATGTATCCACCATCGAAAAGGGGTCAAATTGCACGCGAGCTGAAGTCCGCCGACCCCTCGCTA